ACACTTATTTCCACTTGTAAAAGTGAACGAAAATTTTATTGCGATTATAACAAATTGAGAAATCGTTTAAATCAAAGACAAAACACTTGAACTATTGTGAAAAAATTAATTAAATACAATGTTTTTGCGTCTTACAGTTATGACATCTACATGTCTATTTTACGCGTTATCGTAACAGATGGAAAACGAAATTAGTAGTATCTGTTAATGTACAAGTGTTGTATATTAATATCGTGTATTTTATATATATATGTGTGTAAATGATTGACACATATATCGCATTAAAGTATGAAAAACAATTACAACTATCATTACGGATCGAGATTACACGAAATTAGTACAAAATTCATCATATATTGTTACACAAATACACACCTTGTACACAACTGTAAGAACTACTATCAAATAGACTCGACTCTCTTTTATTTTTCAAAATAATCGTAACACTTTGAACAAGAATTTAGGAAAATATTTTTTTTATGATATATCAAACCATATTAAACAAGCTATGTTTAAGTTTTAAAATTAAAAGTGAATAATGTGTTAATGTATATAGGTCGTACATTTTGATAACGTATCAGATAAAATGGGAAAGAAATTAAAATTGTAGAAATCGTATCTACTTCCTGAAGATTTAGAATTATTAAGCATTAGTTAGAAGACAATAGATATTTTTTCGTCAAATTGTTTCATTTTATTTTACGTACGCTAGATGTATGAATGAAAGGCTGTGTAATATACGATGCAAGTTAAAAAAAGAAACTGTATACATACTGTAAACAACTGTATACAACTGTAAACAAATGTTGAAAGTAAATATTGTGTGATATTTCAGGTTTTCAGAATCGATACATTTATTTTTCCACTATTAAGAGCTAAAAATAACGAATTAGTGCATTCATTACTTCCCATAGTATCGTAACTTGCATCTTTACAGTGTTTTCAACTTTCTTAAAACGCAAGTATTTTAAATGAAATGAATCACTCCAATAACTCGGATTCGTAAAATAAATATACCTTTTGCGTACACGTGATTACAAAATATTACAATAACGCAATTCTATAAGTCTTTGTTCCTCGTTAATGTATACTTAAGTATCGTAAATTTTATGTACATAACAATTTGAAAATTCGATAAACTCGTTTCATTATAATTATAAATAAAAACGATGCAACATACCAAAAGAGGCCAAAATGTTCAAAATTACTGAAAGTATTAAATTATCGATTCGATTCGACAATAATAAGAAAAAAAGAAGAACGCAACAGCGAAGCTATGCTGTGTGTACATATATACATATATATAAATACTATACTACGCTAAGTATAGTATAATCTATATACTTAGTACAGTATAATTAGTACACACGATAGGTATTACTAAACAAAAGTTAATGCTCTTTTTACGTGTTTACGTCACTGTAATACCAATTTGGCGAGGTGTCTCGTGTTAATTTTGGTTTTGGTCTTAGCACTGTTTGTAATTCTGTCAGAACCCATTTAATAACACGTACTACGACGACTTTTGCGGTAAATTCTAAAACAAGGGCACCAAATCCTTTGTACAGACCAAGGGGACCTTCGGTAGATATAATCGTACTGTAACAATCGCTTGCACCGCTATATCCTGTTAACAGCGGTGTCACGCTACGTCCTGTATCCAAATTGTCGATAATAGTTCGCGTACCCTGAAGGTGAAGTCTATGAATTACCGTTTCCCAAGGATAAAATAACGCTTCAGCCATAAACGTAGAAACCAGCGACGATTGTAACTCTATA